AGTTGGAATAATTTGCTGGCTGTATAAGATTGGGACGGAGCTTTTGTGGAAATGTCTCCAGTGCTGTGATCTGGGATCTTGACGATCAACTCAAAGCAAATTTTAGATCTTTCTCACACATTGTATTCAATAATAGCACGAAAGAAAGACACATTAACAAAATTTAATATTAAAAACACCATAAACAAACTGAAAAAAATAGCAACAACATGTACATTAATAAAAAATAAACTTTGCTTAGGAAGCTAAACTGGGGAGGGGGAGTGGGGGACATTTACAACTTAACGGTTTTATTAAAGTCTTTTTTAGCAGAAAAACAAACAGGGAGAATAAATAGCCACAGTAAACGAACTAGAAGGTTACATAGAACGTTCTTAAGGATGTTGGTGGAAACGTTTGGTTGTTAACTGTGAGCGTCTTCTCCTCCCTCCCCCGCTGGCTTAAATTTCCAGTCACCGTTTCTTGCCTGCTCTTCTTTCCAGAGTCAGGTTTTTAAGAGGCATTGGGTTTAAGGTTTAATGTTTAAACAACAGATCAACGTCATGGCAGAAGGGTAGTAATCCATAAATGCTTCATTCTACTTCTAACTCAAGTCTAAGTCCAAAAAATCTCGGCGCAGTGCACGAACTCCAAAGCACCTGTCAGCGCCACTAAGCTACTCTTTTTGATTTCCAACTGACAAGGGATTGTTTTACGTGCGCAACAATATACACGGGCGTCCGACGTTTCACCCAGAAACCAGGGGAAATTACTAGAAGTCCACGCGAAAAAATCCTAGCCTTCACAATGGCTTGAATCCGGGACCTTCAGCACTCGAGGCGGACGCCATGTCTCTAGACCACGCAACCCACCCCCCCCCCCCCCCCCCCCCCCCCCCTTTACCCCCCCCCCCCCCCCGCACTCCCCAAACACACATACAGGCATACGATGCGAACCTTGGCATGAGCTACGTAGATAGTGGTGTTTACGGGCTCCGATATTCGGTCTATTCATCGCTTACGTAGTCGACATCTAGATTTGCTTACATATGTCTAAGTAGTAGGGCTCTTTGTGTAATGGCTTATGGCGAGACGCGGTTTCTGGGACCACTCCACGGGTGATCCTCACCAACATGGTGGCACTTCTGTGTCATCGGGTGTTTATCGCCTGTGTGATGTCCCGGTGGGGTTTTCAAGGAGAGATAGTCCCGCTGGCCAATGTAAATATGACGAGTGGTCCTGACTATCATCATTCTCTTCCCCGCCTCTGTCCGCTTACGTGGTCGTGTCCCTTTTCTTTCTCTGATGTTAGTTTATATGTCTGTAAAGTCCCCTCCGTGTTCTCCACTCTTGTATGTAAACCTCATGCAATGTACTTGTTTTCTGAATGAAATATTTAACATGTCATTTAAATTGTTGACTGTAAAGTGCCCTACTCTGGCTCTCGGGCCAGAGGCCGCAGAGTAACCCGGTCGTAATGGCTTAGGGCGAAACGCGGTTTCTGGGACCACTCCACGGGCGATCCTCACCCATATGGTGGAACTTCGGTGTCATCGGGTGTTTATCGTCTGTGCGATGTCATAGGAGGGTTCCAAGAGGGATTGGGAGAGTGTTACTTATTTCACTTTTTGTTTGATATTTGAAATTTATGTATGCAAAAAATGTAAACCAAATGAGTAGCCCTTTCTATTTCCTCCTTTGTCTCCCTTGTCCGCTTACGCTTTCGTGTCATTTTCTTTTCTTTTTCTCTCCTTCTTTCTTTCCTTTTTTCTTTCTTTTTTCCTCTCTTTCTACTCTTTCGGTTGTTTGCATATATATATATATATATATATATATATATATATATATATATATATATATATATATATATATATATATATATATATATGTATATATATGTATCTTAAACCTGTAAAAACATTACCATTGAAATGTACCGTTTCCGCTGACATACCCAACAGCACCAGCTCTCCTCCAAAATCCCGGTCCTTTCTGCCTCCCCCTGTCTCTATCTTCTGTTAAATGTCAGTGAGAAACGGTACAAACCATCATCATTTTCTTCACATCATCTTATTGATTTTGCTTCTGTTCCACAAGAGATTTGTACAAATATGTTTCAACAATAAACACTTTAAAAAAAAATCTAGTGACACATGTCCAAACCATTCTATCTCTAGCCTTTTGAAGTAGTTTAATACTGGTTCCGTGCTAGCTTCTTTCCTGATATACAGTCATCTAGGCTGGGTTGACATGGCCGTCAAGGTTAACTGAAAGAGAAAACAGTCTTGTTTCGATGTGGGTTTGAAACCTAGACGCAACAACCGGCACCAATGCGTCTATCTGATACGCTAAAACAGCATGTACATTCAGTAAAAAGAATTAGTAATGGCGGCAACATGTTTCGTTGCTACCTTGTGCCTCATGGAAATAAACAGCAAGTAAAGGACCCTTTTCTACCCCCATCAGGCTTATTGGTTTTATAGGGATCGACCTATATCTAATAGACCAAACGGCATTCGGGGGTTGATATGGTCAGCATCACGACGGCCGCCTTTACTTCACAGGACTGTTTCTGGTACCCATGTTAAAAAAAGTAGAAAAATTTTCTTGCTGTATAAATAAGCAGTTGGTTAAACAATCCTGGAATAATTTCTCGTACTGGAATAAACATCTTATCGGATCGATAATCATGCCCCCCCCCCCCCCCCGCTCCCAACCCCCAGACCTATTAACTAGCCATGACATATATTATGAATGATTAAAGATATTCTGTTTTCAAGTGTCAATGTCATGTCCCTGTAATCAGTAATCGTGGAACATGGTCAGTACTTGCACAAATACCAAAGAGAAACAATAATTAGGAAGCTTGTTTTATGTCTTCATAAATTCTTAGTGGTACCAATATTCAGCATGTCCCTTTGATTCCGGAAATACCTTGGGGATTAAAAATCGGGTAACTCCTTGCTTTCAAAAATATTAAAATTGATCAACAGTCATGGAACCTGTATCACTGCCTGCATAAATTATATATGGGGGTCAATAATCATAGAACGAATTTAACTTGCTTGCCCAGTTAAATCGTTCCAGGGACCAGACATCTTACAACATGCTCTCTTGCTTGCATACATCCTTCCAGGGACCAGACATCTTACAACATGCTTTCTTGCTTGCATAAATCCTTCCAGGGACCAGACATCTTACAACATGCGCTCTTGCTTGCATAAATCCTTCCAGAGACCAGACATCTTACAACATGCTCTCTTGCTTGCATACATCCTTCCAGGGACCAGACATCTTACAACATGTTCTCTTGCTTGCATAAATCCTTCCTGGGACCAGAACTAGTACAACATACTCTCTTGCTTGCATAAATCCTTCCTGGGACCAGAACTCGTACAACATGCTCTCTTGCTCGCATAAATCCTTCCAGGGACCAGACATCTTACAACATGTACTCTTGCTTGCATAAATCCTTCCAGGGACCAGAACTCGTACAACATGCTCTCTTGCTCGCATAAATCCTTCCAGGCACCAGAAATTGTACAACATGTTCTCTTGCTTGCAAAAATCCTTCCAGGGACCAGAACTCGTACAACATGCTCTCTTGCTTGCATAAATCCTTCCAGGCACCAGAAATTGTACAACATGTTCTCTTGCTTGCAAAAATCCTTCCAGGGACCAGAACTCGTACAACATGCTCTCTTGCTTGCATAAATCCTTCCAGGCACCAGAAATTGTACAACATGTTCTCTTGCTTGCAAAAATCCTTCCAGGGACCAGAACTCGTACAACATGCTCTCTTGCTTGCATAAATCCTTCCAGGCACCAGAAATTGTACAACATGTTCTCTTGCTTGCATAAATCCTTCCAGGGACCAGAAATTGTACAACATGTTCTCTTGCTTGCATAAATCCTTCCAGGCACCAGAACTCGTACAACATGTTCTCTTGCTTGCACAAATCCTTCCAGGGACCAGAAATTGTACAACATGCTCTCTTGCTTGCATAAAAAACACAGTGGACCAATAATCATGGAAGCTGTTCGCTTGCTTGGGTCTTCTTCTTCTTTTTTCGTCTCACTGTTACCAGGTTGTAGCCCAGTGTCCAGTGTCGTGGTTTTGTCATCTCACTGTTACTAGCTTGTAGCCTAGTGTCGTGGTTTTGTCGTCGCACTGTTACCATTTTGTAGCCCAGTGTCGTGGTTTTGTCCTCTCACCGTTACCAGGTTGTAGCTCAGTGTCGTCGTTTTGTCGTCTCACTGTTACCAGGTTGTAGCTCAGTGTCGTCGTTTTGTCGTCTCACTGTTACCAGGTTGTAGCTCAGTGTCGTCGTTTTGTCGTCTCACTGTTACCAGGTTGTAGCCCAGCGTCGTCGTTTTGTCGTCTCAATGTTACCAGGTTGTAGCCCAGCGTCGTCGTTTTGTCCTCTCACTGTTACCAGGTTGTAGCCCAGCGTCGTCGTTTTGTCGTCTCACTGTTACCAGGTTGTAGCTCAGTGTCGTCGTTTTGTCGTCTCTATGTTACCAGGTTGTAGCCCAGCGTCGTCGTTTTGTCCTCTCACTGTTACCAGGTTGTAGCCCAGCGTCGTCGTTTTGTCGTCTCACTGTTACCAGGTTGTAGCTCAGTGTCGTCGTTTTGTCGTCTCAATGTTACCAGGTTGTAGCCCAGTGTCGTCGTTTTGTCGTCTCAATGTTACCAGGTTGTAGCTCAGTGTCGTCGTTTTGTCGTCTCACTGTTACCAGGTTGTAGCTCAGTGTCGTCGTTTTGTCGTCTCAATGTTACCAGGTTGTAGCCCAGTGTCGTCGTTTTGTCGTCTCAATGTTACCAGGTTGTAGCTCAGTGTCATGATTTTCTGTATCTGTCTTGCGCTTCTCAGGTGGCTTGGGTTATTAATTTGGTAATCTTTTGCAGGTTTCTTCTACACCATTTTCCAATTTCTTTCCTGGTCGTCCTCTCGCCTTTCTCCCAGATGTTCTGCTGTAAAAAGTCTCACATGCTTGCTTGAATAAATACTGAAAACGGAATCAATAATCATGGAATATGTTGCCTTGCTGCAATAGCTCATGGATAAAACTCGGACACTGATAACCAAATAATGTGTAATCTGGAGAATAAACTTTAAATAAATTATTGAGCTCGTAGGCTCGAATGTCACCATAAACTTGACGTAATTCACTTTGGGATAACATTTTTGTGTCTGTCACATATGGAGGTTTGATCTCCGGTTTTATTGTGAGTTTGTCTAGTACTAACTTGATATCTTTCTCAACATCCTCAAATGTCCCCACAAAGTCGTAATCTACAAGGCAGGGATGGCACTGTTTATAATACTGTTCCCAATGCTCGTTTAGAGCTATAGCCCCTTCATGCTCGTTGTCTATGATAAATTTCACAAACTCCGGAAAAAGAACGTTCGTTCCTTGTTTTATATCAAAGTCTGTGGCGTTTTGGCGGTACTTTTTAATAATGGGTGAGCCGAATGCTCGATGAAAATATTTGGAGCCTTTGCTTAAAAGCTTTGTTCTGTAGGCTATGACAAGTCTTTCTAGGGGATCCCGGACGAAAATAACTTTATAATACGATTTGAGCATTTCGCTTCGTTCTTTATCCCCATAATCGCTGAGTCGTTTGGAGTTTTTAGCGTATTTGCCATAGACATCGCCCCCAGAAATGGCACCGGTGCTTGTAGCGTTGACAATTCCGCTAAGTATTAGAATAATCTTTCGCCATTCGTTGATGGCCACCCCTGGAATCTGACAGAATAACAGTTTGTGCTTCTCCTCCACCAAGATGGAGCTTAGTTTTGTTTTAGGGATGTGTTCATGCAGTGTTTTATGTGGGTGTTGCTGCTGGCACAAGTGGCGAAGGTTTCTGACTCGTAGATCTGCAGATGCTTGAGCTGGTGAAGGGGTAGAGTCGTGAGCAGGTGCTCTAGAAGGTCTGTGGTTGTGATTCACTAGCCGAAGACGTTGTTCTATAGGAGCTGCAGGTGATAATTGGGCAAACTGTGAGAAAAATTAAAGTAAAGAATGTTATTAATGTGTGAATAAAAGTACATATTTACAGTGATCATAGCCACATCACTATTAACATCAAATGCAGTAAATCAGTAGCTGTTCTTTGCAGAACCTTTCTCCCATAACAACCCTCCAGAAAACTTGTCGATCACAAGCAAGATGACCCGAAGTGATACACCCATCTGGAGATCATCCGCCACATCCTGCACCCATATTCTCTTTGCCATTCCCCTTCCTCTTTTCCCAGGCAAATACCCCTCCTCTACTGTTTTCGCTAAACTTTCGTGACGTTTCAAGTGACCATACTATTTCAATTTTTTGTGTTTTATCGTCTTTAATAGCCAACCTTCTTCAATATTCAGTTCCTAAAGTATGGATACATTTGTTGTTTTCTTTACCTGTGATAATAGAAATAAACTCCACAGGGGAGCAAGTACAGCAGGGATCTACCAGTCTTCAGTAGAAGTTATCCTCGTCGACAAATGTTTCGGCCCACGTATCTCCTAGACATTTCAAAGGTGGGCCCACCTGAGTTCATGAAGCTCAGGGCTGGTACCCTGCTGCACGAAATTATCGGATGGTGTTTTTCTTTCGGATAGGGACAAGACGACTTGGTGATTTGCAGAAGGTACTGTGAGATAAGAAGTCGTCGCGGCAGCCTAATTAGAACAGTCAGCATACCTGGACGACCGAGCGACAAGCTTACGATTGGTTTACCGGACACATGTTAGACTTTGTTAGCAGGTGGCAGAGGATCACTGGCAGACAATTCGGACACGATGGACTTTCAAGGGGTGAGAAACCCTTTTCCGCTAGACACCCGGACCAGCTCACCGAGGCCCGTCCCCTACGTTGTTGCGTTGCGTCCAAAGCCAGCTCGAGGCCCTTTCGGCTACCTCGCCCAGTTTTTTGAGTGTTCGTTTCCGTTCATTACCGCGCAATCCTAGTTCTTTAATCACATTGTACAGTGAAGTGGAGACGAGATCCCTCGCTCCCACTTCGACGGCAAAGACACGTACTGCGTACGCCTCGTCTCTCCTCAGACCGGCTGCTAAATCACTGTACTTCTCGAACTTGTACAGGTGATTTTCATCCATACGCGACTCATACGGGACGATCAGCTCAATCAGGATGAGCTGCCGTTTCTCCGCAGAGTGGAGAACTATGTCAGGTCGCTGACCGGTCTTCTGGATTAACTCAGGGTACCTTTCATGGCCCGGCAGATCAACCGCCAGTAACCAGTCCCTCGCAGAGTCTAGCACAGATGGAGCGAATGCGTTTCGGTTGACCTTACCCTTTTGAATCTGCCCAGCCTTGAGGAAACGAATGGGGACGATGGTAGAACTGGCTTTGGCGTTAGCCCTCATTCTAGCCTGGTCAACAACGGCTGCTAACTCTTTTAGCACATTGTTGTGGCGCCAGGTATATCGGCCTTGACCTAGGGTTTTCCTGCACGCGGACAGGACGTGCTCAAGAGTTTGCTTCGCTTTGCACAACGGGCAAGTCGGATCGTTAGTCGCAGACTACATGTTAACACCGGACGGTAATACATAGTACGCCGAACGAACGATAAAGCTCACTCGCAGCGGGGTCATTCGCCAGATCTCACCCCATGTGAGTACTCTTGGCAATGCGCTCTCCAGGCTGACCCAATGGCCCTGCTGCGACTGCTGGGCTGCTTTCTGGAAACGAACCTCGTTTTCGTTGTCCCTCACCTGTTGTATCACCATGTCTCGGCGTTCTTTGGCAGAGGCCTTTGACCACCAATTGACCTTCCCGTGCCCTAGGCCTCGACGGTGAGTTCGAGTGTATCCTATTATCTCCCTCAATTTTAGTGCGTTCTGCGCAGATTCTATCGCATCGAGGACTCTCCACTTCTGCCCAGTCTTTAGAGCGGGCTGGACAGCGATGACATTTGGGTCTGAAGACTCGCGCAAGAGCATGGCGAGTCTTACTTTGCCGACTTTAAACTCTTCGGTTATCGATTTGAACGGGGGTACCAGCTTAGCCTGCTTGCAATACAGAGCCACGTCAGTCAGGCAAGGCGGTGCACCAATCCACTTTCTCAAGGCTGTGTTGATTTTCCTCTCCATGGTTTCCACTGCAGTCATCGTCACCTCGTAGACTAACAGTGGCCATAGGAGCTTCGGAATCAACATGAATTGGAGACACCATACCTTGAATTTCCCGATCAGCCTGCAACGCTCGATCGCGAGCAGGCCTGTAGCCAGTGACTCATGTATTCGCCGGACCTCCGCTCTATCAGATAACTTTGAATCGTAAACGCGACCGAGGCTCTTCACCGGTTCCTCCAGAACCGTGGGGATCTTGTTCCTTGCCACCGTAAAACTGGTTGCCGCCACTCGACCCTTACAGATTGACAGACTCCTCGACTTCTGCGGTTTGAACTGCATACCGCTCCATTGGATCACCACGTCCAATCTTTCCAGGATCGTGCGGGCAGACTCCTCGCTGCCCGTTATAATAGTCGTGTCATCCATAAAGGCACGTAGTGGAGGCATCCAGTGTTCCCCTATTTGAAGGCCCAGTCCGTAGCTGGCCGCGCCGTCCAACATGATCTGCATGGCCATGACAAACAGTATTGGTGAGATCGTACACCCCATAGCTATCCCAATCTGCAGCTCAGTCCATCTCGTGGTAAACGTCGAGGTAGAGAAGCGCAAAGCGAACTTGGAGAAATATTGCTCGATCATTTCGTTGATCTGTGCCGGTACGTGGAACATGCGAAGGGCTCGCCACAGTAGCCTATGGGGGACTGCCCCGTAGGCGTTGGCTAAGTCTAACCATATCACGTGCAATTCGGTTCTCTCATGCTTGGCTCTCTGGATAGCCTCCCAGATCATGGTCGCGTGTTCAAGGCACCCAGGAACGCCTGGAGTGCCACCCTTTTGAACACTCGTATCGATGTACTTGTTAGCCATCAGATACTGTGTGAGCCGGCGAGCCATGACCGAGAAGAATATCTTACCCTCGACATTCACCCATGATAATATTAGAACCCGCCTATAATATTTGTATTCAAAGGCATCTATGCGCTGTTCTGTTTGTTTAGCAAGTGTCCAGGTATCACAGGCGTATGTTGCCTGTGATGCAGGAGATGCATCAGATGCAGTAAAGCAAATTAAATACTGAGACAGCTAGTCCCAGTTTTACAGCATAAGACAATCCCGATCTGTACAAAGATACACTTACACAAAGCATGTTTATTTCCATGTTCTCTACTACCAGTGCCAGACGTGATCAATAAGAACCAACTATACTAGATCAAAAGTAAGCATGAAAATGAGATGTCTGAGAAATGCTGCAAAAGTGACCTGAAGATATCAAACGAGTGAGGTCATAAGAGAAAAAAGTCGTCACAGACGACTGCATTCAAAAACAGCAAGTCTAATGGGTTGCCAGTTTAGAGAGAATACCTGATGACACCATACCACACAAGGCATATACCAAAAGAGGAGAAGGACGTAGCTTACAATTAGACCAAGAACAGGATATAAAGAAAGGGAGAAACACTAAAATAGTCCAGTATGCCTATGGTCCCTTTAGAACAAAAGCTGGCCTCACAGACTGGTTCTCAGTAATATTAGGAGTAAGGCAAGGTTGTTCTGATCTTTCACCTTTATTTTTTAAACTATCTATGGACACCAGATGTCGATAAACAGGAGGACTTCAATGAGCTGCTCTTTGCCGAAGATAAGTGCACATTACACAGTGTAAGTAAACAGCTGCAGGACTACATAAACAACTACAATGACACAAGAAAGAAAGAAAATGTCTATGGTCAAAGCTGACAGAAAAGCAAGAGGAACAACTTTATATCCCCCTCCAGCTCCCAAGCGGCAGAAGAAGACGCGAAAAAGCACAAAAGATCTGACCCACACCAAACAAAGTTATAATTGAGACACACGTAACGGTTACAGTGAGTTCTACCATCTCAATTCCTATGTCTGCAAAGATATACCAAGTCATCGAGCTTTAAGTCTGATGGCAAACACACACTTGAAACTAAGTTGTATTTATTCTTCATCCTCTAAGTCTTATAGGAAACATGCTTGGAAACTAGCGTCCGTCTCGAGTGCTGGAGGTCCTGAGTTCAAGCCCTGGTGAAGGCTGGGACTTTTTCACGTGGACTTCTAGTAATTATCCCTGGTCTCGGAGTAGTGAGATCGGACGCCCGTGTGTATTGATGCGTACGTAAAAAATCTCTTTGTAGTTAGAAATCGAAAAAGAGTAGCCTAACAGCGCTGCCTGTGTAAAATTTTGAGTTTAAAATCTACCCAAAGTATTCCAGGATCCTCGCCGGTGTCACGGAATTCGTTCACTGTGTGAGATTCATCGGACTCAGGCTTGAGCAAGAAGTAGAAGGGAGCACTTAGGGGTAACTACCGCTGTGCCATGATGTTGATCGGTCGTCTAAACCTATGCTTGAAACTAAGTTGTATCTATTATTCATCCTCTGAGTCTTATAGGAAACATATGCTTGAAACTAAGTTGTATCTATGTCTCATCCTCTGAGTCTTATAGGAAACACATGCTTGAAACTAAGTTGTATCTATGTCTCATCCTCTGAGTCTTATAGGAAACATATGTTTGAAACTAAGTTGTATCTATTTCTCATCCTCTGAGTCTTATAGGAAACACGCTTGAAACTAAGTTGTATCTATTTCTCATCCTCTAAGTCTTATAGGAAACACGCTTGAAACTAAGTTGTATCTATTTCTCATCCTCTGAGTCTTATAGGAAACATATGCTTGAAACTAAGTTGTATCTATTCTTAATCCTCTAAGTCTAATTAGAAAGCATACTCTTGAAACTAAGTTGAATCTATTTCTCATCCTCTGAGTCTTATAGGAAACACGCTTGAAACTAAGTTGTATCTATTTCTCATCCTCTAAGTCTTATAGGAAACACGCTTGAAACTAAGTTGTATCTATTTCTCATCCTCTGAGTCTTATAGGAAACATATGCTTGAAACTAAGTTGTATCTATTTCTCATCCTCTGAGTCTTATATGAAACATATGCTTAACACTAAGTTGTATCTATTCTTAATCCTCTAAGTCTAATTAGAAAACATACGCTTGAAACTAAGTTGTATCTAGTTTTCATTCTCTAAGTCCCACTAGAAAATATACACTTCAAACTAAGTTGTATCTAGTCTTCATTCTCCAAGTGTCATTAGAAAATATACGCTTCAAACTAAGTTGTATCTAGTGTTCGTTCTCAAAGTCTCATTAGAAAATATACGCTTTAAACTAAGTTGTATCTAGTCTTCGTTTTCTAATTCTCATTAGAAAATATGCGCTTCAAACTAAGTTATACCTAGTCTTCATTAAATTCATTCTCGTTAAATCACTATTGATCACTGACTGGCATCATCAGGCCTAATAGATTGTAATGATGGGGCATATTTAAAAAATGTCAGATGACAGAGAACTAAGAACTATGCAAGCAAGGGAGGTGAGTGGTCGTAGACCACTAGGCAGACCAAGATAACGGTGGAATGATAATGTCCAGACAGAACCTGCAAACACTTGAAGCTACCGCGTGAAATGCGAGGACTAATCACATCGATGAATAGAGGTTGGTGATACCTGTAGCAATGAACCTCAAGGCTGAAGAAACATAATGTTAGGGCTAGTTTCAATATCCTTTGACTTTCAGAGATGCCCTAGTGCTATTAAATCACACCTTGAGTTTGTCTTCTTATTTTATCATATCTATCAGTTCCTCCAGTTGTATCTAAACTAATACTGAAAATAAAAGAAGAAAGTGGTGGAGAAAACGGAAAAAAAGACGAAAAAAGAACAGCAACAAACACAACAACACCAACCACAAAAACAGCAACAACAACAAAAGAAGAAACGACAGTAACGACAACAGTAAGATGCGGAAACGAATGTCAGATAAGTAGTGGAAAAAGACATTCAATGTAAACAAATACTGACCGGGTTGAAGTTGAAACTGTTGGAGAGGTTACTCCCGACAGGTCCTGTCAATGAAAATTATTTATTAGGTTGTCACTAAAGATTACAGCTGCACTACAATGAACCTAAAACCCCACTAAATGAACCATACTTTTTTTTTTTGACATCACATAACCACCAAAACCTCCATATCAGTTAGAGTAGAAAGTACACACATACACACACACACACACGCTCGCGCGCAAATACACACACACACACACACACAAAACCCCCATCACTCACACACATAGGAGTCAATAAATATTCATTTCTCTGCTCCCCCTCCCCCCTCTTTTTTTGGAAAGTGGGATTAGGGGGGGGGGGGGGGGGAGCGCATACAAGACATCATACATGACATCCTATATGACATCATATATAAATGAATGAATGAATAAATAAACCAAGAACTGACATCACTGCACTAGGGACATTCCCAGACGTGCTTGGTCCCCCTCCTCAGCAGCCAGCGGAGTCTTCCATGCTGGAAGTACCAGTTGCAACCTCGACAAAAGCCCGGATGTGTTTCCCCCTTAGTGTTTAGGATCGTTGTGGTGTTTTGCTATTCTAAAACATGTCCTTTACAATGGTCTCTTTTCTGTAGCTACAATACCAGTATTATGTGGTTAAACATCAGCAAATAAATATGTTGCCATATTTCTGACTGCGAGCCGCTGTTTCTTTAGCGGCTGGGAGCTCGCCTGTGGTTCTGAAGGACGTGGGTTCGAATGCGAACGGAGCCGGGCTTTCTTCAAAAAGTGATCGAAGTTTTCAGATCGATCCAGCTTTGATTGGGCACCAGGTGAAGTTACGGACAGCGAAGACGTGCTGCGTGATGTCAACCACACAACACACCGAGTGCCAGTTGGTCTGTAAAATATAGGTCTAGCCCAATGTGCCTAAAACGCCTTAAGGTGTGGAAAAGGTCCTTTATGTTTCGGAATCTTACCGTAAATCAATGATTGCGTGTCTTATGGCGCATCCCATGAAGCTAACGAAAGTGCACATACCTGGCTTTCTATTTTCCTCCTCTTGGAGTTCCCTCATGACCACGAAATGAGAGTCGTCAAAGTTGGACGAAAGATCGTTAGACTCGAACACCCGCCAATGACCTGCAACAGAACGGAAACACATTATATGATCAAATATATAATTATAAAGTGTGTATAAGAAGCGTTTAGTTGAAACACAGTTCATAAATCACCGATTATTAATTCATCCAGCCCCCTTGTGGGATGCAGTTTTTCGTTATTTTGAAGCCCCATCCTGGCTGTTGCCGGGGACCATAATATAACCCAACGGTTGAACGGGGTTTCGGGGACCTCTCTGCGGGGGATACTCATCCGCATGGTCGCACTACGTGTCACCGGGTGTTTATCGCTCTGTGTGATGTCTTGGTGGGGTAAAACTTACTTACCTAACACAGTTCGGGCCGTACCGAGCGCAGTTGCAAGCAGTGCACATGTGATTCGTCCGGATTCGTCAAGATCTCAAACCCCGATCTTCGGACCAACAGGCGAGTAACTAGCCGCTACACCACGGCGCTGTCCTGATATATAATTGGCTAGAATCATATTTTTAAGAACCGTCAATACTCGATGGGTGATGTTGTCAGCATCATTCTGGTCGCTTTTACTTCCAGTAAAATTTCCGTGCACAAATTTCAACGTGTTTTTACTTGGTTTTTGTGTGTATGTGTGTGGCTGGGTGGGAAGGAGAAGAAGTGGTAGACTCGTTGCATTTTAATAAGAATGTCTACACCGCGATTAATACGACTTTGCTCAGATATCGCAGCCTATCTGTAAACCACACCTAAAAGATTCAAACCACACCAAAAGACCAGTCAGCGACATGACAAACATCACACTGGTCATTTTTACTTTCAAAAACAGTTCGGAGTAAGTATTTGAGACTGCGTGGCAGCGAATGACGCCATGGCTGGATCTCGTGGATGCGGACAAGAGAGTAAGATACAACGTGTTGATGACCAGGCTGAGGGAGAATGGGGACAGCCCATGATTGGTAAATTGGATTGTGGCTGTACTATATTCTAGTCGGGTTGCTTTCTATCTGGGTTCATGGACCTCAGAACCACGCAGTATAGCCCCAGGACTGCCACAGGGTTCTGCCATCTCGCCTGTACTCTTTAATGTGTATACGAAAAAGATTGCAAGTCTAAAAGCACCAGGAGTTGGAAGGATACTGACTTTTGCAGACGTTATACTCGCAGAAAGGCATCGGAGTGAGTGGGAACAAACAGCCCAAGGAGCTGCAGGCAACAGTCGACAAAGTGATTGACTAGTGCACAGTTGTGTGGTGTTCTCTAGACAACAGGATTGTTAGATGTCCCGGGTCTCACGATAGATGGTAGAAACGTCAACAGAGAGAGTAATCTTAAGTATTTGGGAAACACACATGACAGGAGCCTGTCTTTTAAGGACGATGTGGAGAATCTTGTGACAAAATGCTAAAAGGGACTCAGTGTACTTAAGACTATGGCTGCAAGTGGCATTGAGCAGAAAATGCTTTTCACACTATATCTGCACCTGATCCTGTCAGTGATTGATTATGGCGTGGGTCTGCTTACCGTCTCAAAGAGTCAGATAGATAAACTAGAGCGCATACAGAATGCAGTTATGCGGGCCATTCTGGGTTGCACCAGAGAAACCCCAGTGGTGTATATGCGATACATCCTTGGTTTGCCGACTGTTGCAGGTAGACACAAGGTGCTGCAGGCTAAGTCATATCTCAAGGTAGCTGCAGACACAGATCACCCTTTGCACAAAGCTCTAGACGCAGTTAAGGATCAGCGGTTGATGAGAGGGAAGTCATGGATGGCTCAGGCAGAAGACACAATCAGACAGGTCTGCAACCTGAAAAACAGGCGAGAAGAGGGGTGGGTCAGAGTGCCAGCGGAACAGTCAGATTCGTAAAGAGTCATAATCATTCTGAGCTGGAGTACAGGGAGTGACCAGCAGGTGCCACGGAGGTTGAAATTCAGCAAGTAATGCAAGACGATGCTCTTTCAGAGGATGTGATTATTTGCACAGACAGTTCAGTGTCAAGAGGCAAAAAAAGTGCTTGGGGTTTTTTACCAAAAGCCAATGGTGGGCGTTTGGTACAGGAGAGCCTAGCGTATGATACCACAACATCCAGCCTAAGAATGGAGGTGGAGACGATCACTACAGCTTTCCTAGTGTACCATGTGCCAGAAAGGTTAAGTACACTAATATATATGGTGTTTGCGTTCACCAGCTGTAATCAACGAGAGAAAGACCTGTTTGTTCATCTATTTCTTGACTTTGTGGTTACAGCACCAGCTTTGTTTCAGGACCAGCGCATTCGTGTGAATCCCTTTTACAGATCTTGTTTTATTTGTATGCAGACAGTTGGTCCCTTGCCTCTCAGGCATGGAAGCCCCTAATTAGTTGACTCTAACAACATACATGTTGGAGCGGCTGTGGGTATCTGCTTGTTTTTCCCCAGAACAGGACCCCGAAACCCACACGGAGAGATAACAAAATGATCTGAACATTGAGAAATGGCGTAACTACTACTTCCTCTCCAGAAAGCTAAAGAATTTTGAATATTTGATTTGTCACGGTGGCCTAAAAATATGATGATGGAGAGTATAGGTTACGGAAGACGATGCAAAGGCAGCCCTGCACAAATGTGGAAAATGACATTCAATATGCACTGGCTATGAAAGCACTTTATACTGGAGACGTGTCTGACAAATGCCAAAGTCTAAGGCGTCTGATAAACCTACCGTAAGCTTGTCACTGTGGCCATGAAGGTTGACGGCTAGTTTGCTATACTATATATATATATATATATACTTCTATTCTTCTTCTTCTCTATTCTCCTTGAATAGCTCTCTGAGTCAGGCAAGAAATAGATCTCTAGAACGGGCACTTCTGTTCGCTGCATATATAGTACTTTTCAGCGTCTCTGATATTTTTGCGGTCCATATTCTGCGTGGTCGACCTCTGGGTGTGTTACCGTTGTATCTGTCTCTGTCTCTGAGAATGCTATTCAATCTCATTATGCTACAGTCATTTCAATCTATCCGCCCTCGTGATACCAGGGATCAGTGCTGATTTAAATAGATTGTGAATTTAGTTTTTGCTTCTCATTTTCCATTCTTAACTGTCTGCCGCTTTTATGGATCCAAAGATCCGTCGTAAGACGTGTAATATGACTTCACCTTTTTTAGTTTCAATTTTCAGAGCCTTTTAGACAACAAGTCCTATCAGTTTTTTACATATATTGATCTTGGTATTAAAGGATGGAGACTTTGACTTTGGAGATGTCGTAGCGCAGCGGGTTCTACACCAGTGGGTCGCGACCATTTTGTGGGTCCAACGACCCTTTCACGAAGGTCGCATAAGACCATTGGAAACCATATGTTGAATGAAGTTATGAAGTAGCGCCGAAAGTAAGTGTTTGGTTGGGGGTCGCCACAACATGAGAAAGTGTATTCAAGGGCTGAAACCACACGAGCAACTGTATTAAAGGGTCGCGGCGTTGGGAAGGTTGAGAACCTCTGCTGTAAGGCATAGTGTACTGTGTGTCCAGTTCAGGCCTATATGATGCCTAAGGTAGTTTAAGGACTGAGTAGAGAACCAATAACACAAAACACGGGACTTGTCATAAACATTCATTTTCCATCTTGAGGTGCCAGTACAGAGTTAAATTTGTAAGTGTCTCATTAGCAGTTTGATTAATGTAGTTTCTAATGTAACCACATATTTAAAAAAAAAAAAAAGAGAGAGAGAGAGAGAGAGAGAGAGAGAGAGAGAGAGAGAGAGAGAGAGAGAGAGAGAGAGAGAGAGAGAGATTAGGCTTTTGAGCCTCCTGTCAAACAGGACCATAAACACCTGATTGACCTGCTACTGACATGCTAGTTCATAGAGGCAACCCACTTGATGGTCTGATCTAAGCATACGAAACCGAACGCAAAGTAGAAGAAGAATAGGTAGAAGAAAAAGAAGAAGAAGAAGAAGAAGAAGAAGAAGAAGAAGAAGAAGAAGAAGAAGAAGAAGAAGAAGAAGAAGAAGAAGAAGAAGAAGAAGAAGAAGAAGAAGAAGAAGAAGAAGAAGAAGAAGAAGAAGAAGAAGAAGAAGAAGAAGAAGAAGAAGAAGAAGAAGAAGAAGAAGAAGAAGAAGAAGAAGAAGAAGAAGAAGAAGAAGAAGAAGAAGAAGAAGAAGAAGAAGAAGAAGAAAAAGAAGAAAAAGAAGAAGAAGAAGAAGAAGAAGAAGAAGAAGAAGAAGAAGAAGAAAAAGAAGAAAGAAGAAGAAGAAGAAGAAGAAGAAGAAGAAGAAGAAGAAGAAGAAGAAGAAGAAGAAGAAGAAGAAGAAGGAGAAGAAAAAGAAGAAGAAGAAGAAGAAGAAGAAGTAGAAGAAGAACCTCCTCAACCTAGACAATAGTAAAGGGTGCCAAGGTTCCTCTCTCCCGATTTCTTGATGTAGACGCAACGGTCTACAGTACTGTTAAGTAAAGAACATTCTAACGAGAACATTCTGTCTCAACACCGAATCAAGAATATATTCAGAAAGCAAAAACTGCCTAATTTCCCAACTGGTGTCTAGCTAACATTAAACTATTACCCTATGCTCGTGTCACTGGATCTGACCCCCCTCTAAAACACAAAGGCTCTTGATTCCACGAGCTTTCTTGCCAAGAGACAAATTTATTGCCGAGTGGGTCAATGGCCGATAATGAATAGTCTGTATATAATGTGATTTCACATTGCTGTTTGTTTCACGGGTGTAATTCATGAAATAGAAGAAATCATGGCTGCTATTGGAATTTGTTGTTGTTGTTGTTGTTGTTGTTGAAAAATCCAGCTAAGCTGAACAAAAACCCAAGCAATACAAAGAAGATTAAAAAACCGAGATTGTTAAAATGTACAACAGTTAAAGTTACGAAACGAAACATTTACCACTTTTATATAAGGATATATATTTAGGGGGGAAAAAAAACGATTTCCCGAAGGCGTCAAATAAAAACCCAGATCTGGGAGAAACACCCCAGCATCGGTAGCCCTGGAGGAACTTAAACTGTACAATAGAACCATTAATATTGAGCTTTTGGGGAGAATAAAATATGT